GAAGATTTTATAAATTATGTATAGATGCTTGGATTTATAAAATATGTGCACAGGTATTTTTATCTTTTATAGTATTCACCTGCATGTGATTCATGCAATAAATGCAAACTGTATTTGGTTCAAATGTTAGAATATACCTATTTTACAAAATTTGGTGCTTCTCTGTTGATTTTGCATCCTCTATTTCTACTTGTAAAGGATTGACGTAAGGGGAATAAGTCACAGTTTAAAAAGCTTCCCAAATGTGACCACCCACCTCTCTTCCCAAACTGGCCCACTTGCAGCCCCTTGTCCCCTGCTCGGTCTAGCTGTGAGCTTCGGCTGCTCTGGGCTCAGCAGCAACATCCTGCTTTTTTTTAAACATTGTAAAAAGACTATTGATCTACTCACAACTATTTATTACATACTTTGCAAATGGAAACACATGAGTTGCTGTGTTGTTAGTGATGGGGGATGCTTGGGCACCTGGAATCTCCTTCACCTGCAATATCTACCTCTAATAGACTAAACAGTTAATTGGAAACCACATTTGATTTTAAATTAATATATGCAATTATATCATGACATACCATAAACTCCAGAATATTTCATGTTCATTGAGGAGTCTAAGAAGGTTTTGTTGTCAAGGATATGTATTTGAAACCGGGTAAGGCTGTGTCCTCCCCTCAGCATCACGTCCTGCCTGGAAGTGGTGAGCCCACGGGCCCCCAAGTGCCCGCAGCTGATTGGGGTGAGCTCTGATTGCTGCAGCATCCCTGGGCTGTCGGGACCAAGCAAGGCTTTCAGCTGGGCTTCATGCTGAGGCTTGTAGGATGCTCACAGGACTGCAGTCATTCTCACAGGGCCAGGCTTGAAGAGGCAAGTCCTCTGACAAGGTAAGAAATGTCACCCTTTCTGTATTTCATTAACCTGAAGTACCAGGCCCTTACTGCAAACCCATATGTGCCTTTGCTGTCTTTGGAAATGCTTCCTACTCCTTCATCCCTGCAGTTTGGGTGCCTCTGCAACTCCAGTGCAATGGTAGAAAATGAGGTTTTTGTGGCCGGTTTGCTGGTTGTGTTCTATGCTGAGTAACACAAAGGCATCAGCTGAATCCTCTTGAGTAGGCATGCTTGGTTTTTAAAGTAAAACACTGCCTTTGATGTGAACAGGGTAGGAAATAACTTCCAGATATGGAGCATCAGCTTGGGAGCCTGGGCTGTGGATTTTCCTCAGGACTGTCCTGTATGTCCTGGTCCAGCACTACAGCTCTCCAACCCACAGCCTTCTTCAGCTGGAGGGGTGGTGCCAAGACAATCTTTTTCTAAATTTCCTTCGTTATGCTGTCAAGAGGGATGTAGCAGTGTCTCACCCTTAGCTTAGTCCACTCTGTCCTGTCTTGAGGCTGCTCCTCCTGACGTGCTCGCTCTGAAAGCCACTTTCCAGGCACATGGTGCAGATCCAGGCTTCCCCCTGTTGCAGGGCATCTCTGTGTGCTGGTCCCCCGGTGCAGAATCAGCTACTCTGGCAGCAGCCAAATGTTATTGCACCCCTTGGCAGGGACTGAAAACCAAACCAGCAAACACTGAATTTTCCTGGTTTAATTTTCCAACAGTAACTGTGTCATGACCCCAGTCTCCTAATCCATCCAAGTTGCTATGTAAAACTGCAAGTAAGCTTGCACCTTGCTTTTCTGGATACAAGTGACTTAATTTAGGGGACAGAAGAAAAGAAAATGGTCTCCATTTCAGTTTTAACCCTTCTAGTGCGTGCTGCAAGTAGAAGTTAGGAAACGTGGGTACATCTCCAAACAGGGTGGAAGTGCGACTCGGCAGCCAGTGGGATCTTGCACATTTGCTAAAACATGTAAAGCACGCCCCTCGTTTGCTGCCACCGAGCTCCCGCTCCTCTTGGAGGGCATCGCTTCCCCCGCTGTCTGCGTCGGACTGCGCTCGTTGTTCGGCCCGCTGTGATGGCCTGCCTGCCGGCCCCACTCGCCCTCCCTCGCGCCGGGCTCAGTTTCAAGGTCGCCGAGCGGTCAGAGGTATCGCGTGTGCCCGAGGCCGCCATCCCCACGGCACCCTCCTGGCAGCAGCCCTTGCTTTTGCTTGGCCTATTCCATATTCCCCTGCCAAACTGAGAATGATTTAAATTGCAGCAAGCACGCTACCAGCCTGGAGATGGAAACAGTCCTAAGTGTTACCTTTACAGAAATATTCTCGCGCAACAGCAACAGTGACCTGCAGGCGCAGAGACCTGTGGCTGGGAGCTGGAGCCAGGCTGCTGCAGGGGTTCTGCTGTTTGGAGAAGCACCTTTGCAGCCCCGAAACACAGCAAGGACAAACCCAGAAGTCAGTATGCATCTCCAGCTGAATGGAACCCAGCAGTCACTCAAACAGAACATTAAAATGGGTTTTGACCTCTCTGTCACTGGCTCTCCAGCCTTTTATGCTCGTGTTCAGAGCCCAAGTGATGACCCAGTACCCACAGCGAGCAGGAGCAGGCCAAAAGTAATTCATAACTGGGGACCACTAGTAAAAAATCCAACTTCCAACTTTTCCTTAAAAAAAAAAAAACAACACAAAGTTCAAAAGATGTTCAAAAATTGCTCAAAAGTCACCACCATCAGCAGACAATTTTCCCATGCCAGAGACCATAGCTACAGCAAAAGGTAAAAGCAAAACTGTAATGCTCACAGTGGCTCTCTCTAGCACGGGGCTGTGTGTTGGATACCTTGATTATTGCTTACAGCTATAAGCAAGCTGTAAATATCAGATAATTGGTTTTAGGCTATGAAAGACAATGCTCTGCAATAAATACACCAGACTTGTCTGAAGTGTTCCACTCATCAGGATTCACAGCTAATCCTGAGCACAGCACGACAGCAAAGCTTGAATTTCAGAGCCTCTGCAAGGCTGCTGGCACCACATCTAGCTGTGAGGGGCTGGTGGCTTGGAAGAGGCTTTTTGACCTTTCTCTCGATTCTCTTCCTCTGCTGTTAGCAAGCGATGCTACTTCCCTGGGACAGAGCTAATGTCCCGCTTGTGGAGCACTTAGCTACCAACACAGGGGCAAATGGTATGAAAAAGGAGATGTGATCCCTAAAAGCCTCACAACACTTAGCACTGCAGCTCAAGCCCTTAGTCCCAGCCTAATCTGGTCTTTACACTCAAAAGACAGTAAATTCACAGGAGAATTGGGACACCCAAAGAGTCAGAAAATCTTGTGTAGAGAAATATATTTACTGCACGCAAATATGCCTGTACTCTGCTGAAATGCAAATCTGCCTTATTGTCGTCCTAATCCCCATGCATGACACACTAATAAACAGGGGGGTTTAATACTTACCATCTGCGTTACAGATTGCTTCCCACACTGTGAGCTTGCTTGGTTACAGTTGTGTAAGCATCACGGAGAGATATATCCTGCAAACGACAAGCTGGCTAATCCCTTGGGAGACTTTAAAATGTGAGCTGCAGTTTTCTCACTCTCCGTGGGCATTGGAGTCAGTTGTGCAACGTATGGCAATAGCTATATTCTCATTTCACGTCTGTCATGCAGAGATAATTAAAATCTACACTTCCATCTGAGGGGAACTGTAGGCTTTCCAGATGGGTAACTGTAGTGCGTTTTTCAAACTGGATTAACACTTGGACCAAAAAGCCTTGCCTGTTGCCCTCCCACCTGTTAAGATTACCGACAGGGCTACCACTGCAAAGCCATCGTAGGTCCAGTGACAGGGGTCTGCACAGACATGCAGCTCATAAAACGGTGAGCTTACCTCACCCTCACCATTGCACATCTCTCTTCTCAATGAGATATAGTAATTTTAATGCCCTTCTCCAGCATCACCCAGATGTCCACTCTTGGACAGTCCCTCCTAGGATCAGGGGCTATCTGGCGCTCACAACAAAAATGAACCACAGCATACTGGCCTAATTCAAAATACTTGCTATTGTTAGCTTGCAACATTAGCAATGGTTATAATATTGCAAATGAGGGATATCTAGCTTCATTAGCGAGCCAGAAAAGAGCCTGCTTCAGCGTACTGAGCTGGCCACCCACTCAGTGACATTACACCAGAAAGAATCTATCAGGCATCGCCGTGCTGGATGGAGCTTCTCAGTTTCCCAGAAAGCAGAGGCACAATGCACCAGGCTGTAGCATAACTGCTGCCAGAGAGCCACCTAGAAGGAACAGCTTGACCCACGAGAGGTGCTCATATATTGTCCAGGGTAAAACCGCAATAAAAGTAAAACTGTCCGAAAGCTGCATCGTTCCTGCTGCGCAGCTGGGGTCCAGAAATCCACTGGTGGGGCTGTGTGAGTGCAGTGGGACCACGCTAACTTCTGCAGGCAAATATGCCAGCCTCAGTCAGACAAAGTCTTTGATATTTTTCAGCTCCTCATGCAAAAGACCACTGGCATATGCTCTTAAATGCATTTCCCCAATTTGGTTTGGAGCTTCAAAAACCACTAGGCTTACATCAACCATGAAAATACTTAATTCCACCCCCTCCTCTTTCTGAATTTAGAATGATAAAGGATCAACAGTTATGTCTGGAGTAGAGAAGCAGATATTACACACATCTTGCTTACAAAATAGCTCTGGTTTTCATGAAACAAGTTTATTTTCCTCCCCCAGCCATTGAAGAGCACATGACAACCGTACAGAATAAAAGCTCAGCTCCTTAGTTCTGCTCACATTCACTCAACATTTGCTCTAATCAATTATCTTATTTCATGCAATAAGAAAAGAATGAGATTCCTGTTATGCAGCCATAATCAGTTACAGTATGAAGCTGTGTCTGTGGAACATTTCTGATTTTGAAAACTAATCATGTGCTCTGCCATTACATTTCTCTTGTAAAATGCTGGGCTTTTACCCAACTTCCCTCCCCCACCCTTTAAAAATACTGAGGGCACGGTCTAGTCTGAGATGCCACATTCTTACCCTGCAGAAGCTAGCCCAATTGCACTATAAGGAACATATTTACCCAGGGAGCCAGGTTCTGTTTTTTCTAGTTTATTGGAACATAAAAGCGTAAGTGGATGTTTCCCAGAGAGGAAGGCAAAAAAGCAGAGGATGCTGCATGTGACAGTGGATGGCTGGAGGAGGAGAAAACTCCCATCTTCATATGAAGGGCTCAATATTGATTTCTAGGGCAGAGCATGGCATGGTAAGTTCAAACTTGGTGATAACATCAGGGTGTAGGACTCCAAGTTTCCCAATGCTTTGACCTTTGGCAAAGATCTCAGCACAGCGACCAGGAAAGAAAGCAGAGCCTGTAAAGAAAGCGAGAGAAAAATCAATATTTCTCCAGGCCAAAGAAGTCAATAGGCATTTAACATGGAGAACAAAGCTCTCAGTATTAAACTGTTCTCTGTGCTGAGATGCTAAGAACAGGCTCTCACTTTCCTGCATTAACAGTTGTCATGATTGATAGAGAACGAGAAAACACTTTGAGTTAAAAACAAAATGTGAGGCCCAAAGCGTGGGCATTTTTCACACTCCAGTTGTTTTGATTACCTCACTCCTGTAATAGAAATTAGCACAAATAGGACGAGTCAAAGGGCTACTGAAATGAAGAACTTTTGCAGGCTTTAGGCTATTTAACACCTGAATGTTTCCCTCCTTAGTCTGTTCAAGGAAATAAAGCTTGTTGTATTCTAAGGGATAAGGAGGCATGTCGCACTTGGTTACATGTCACAATGAGAAACAACCGATATTCTAATCTGGAGAAGAGCTTTTAAGCAGTTTCATATACACTGTAAAACTGTGGAACAATGAACAGCTCAAAGGAAGTCAAAGATCATCCTCCTCTTACCTCAAACCAAGCCCCAAGTTTTAAATGTTATTTGGGAGTTTAAGAAAAAAAAAAAAGAAAAAAAAGTAGTTGGAGTGGCCATGAAGAACTTGGAGGAGCTGTGCAGACTTTTTCACAGAAACCCTTTCCTACCGGGGAACTTATCTGGGTGTGCTGGCTACACCAGCAATACGTTCAAGCTTGTCTATAGCAGCTATGCTTGCATTTTTTTTGTCTCTGTCCTGAGGTGAGTGGCATTTTGACTTGCTATGCCTTTCAAAAGACAAAACCAAACCAAACCAGCAAGCTGCTCCTTCAGAAGCCAGCTGTTTCATAACAAGGATGTGGAAGCAAGGCACAGTGCGCAGGACCTCCAGTGAGCGGTGCTGCAGATGATGCTGTGAACTCAAAGGAGGAAAGGGGAGAGGATGAAACAAGGCCCCTGAATCCTACAGATCCTCCTGCAGAAAGCTGCCTCTGACATGTGTTTAATGCTACTGCCCCTGCAGAGAGGGAAGGGCTCTTCACTAGATTTCCACTCAGAAGTTAAACAAGTCTGCAGGGACAGCATTGAGGAGCAGTCAGCTTCCCTGCCCTCACCCCTTCCTCTGCATCTTTATCTCAATAGGCCAAAATCCAACAAAGCATCTTCTACAAGAAGAGCCACTTATGGGCACGTGTGAGGTTGCATCAGTGCGGATGAGAAACATCCCTGCTCTACTTGCTTTTGGGCTGGTATGAAGATAACAGCTGAGGACCTGCTTCCAGTCCTGCTCCCTGTCTGCTACCGACATGGCACTCAGCCCTTCAGCATCCTCTGCATCCTGCAAAAGGATCACAAGAATTTCCTAATGGCAACTTACTCTCTGGTTGCTCCAAATGCTATTTAACGTTCAGGATCAGCCCAGGACATTTTGTTGCTTTTACAAGGAGCTATTTAAAAAAGGCAACAAAGGGCCAAATTAACCTCAAACCTCAGAAACATTTTCATGACACTGATCACTAGCGGTCAAGCCCAGAGATATATTCTTTGTCAGTTCCCCAGTGGAAATAGTTCATTTAAGAAGTGTCTCCTATGAGGTTTGTGCTCATAACTTGCAGCCACAACAATAACAGCAGCAATTAGATCTTTTTATTGTCCAACTTGCAAATTACTTAACCATGTACTTCAATTTTGGCTGCCTTGTGAAATCTGATGGCAGTAGTAAACAATCACAGTAACATCACCTAAAGGCTGTTTTAAAAAGTATTCAGAACCAGTATCTTTTAAATCATCCTGTTCCAGCCTTAGCTACGAGCGCTCACCCAACTACTTACACTGGACGTACAAAAGTGAAATTACCTAGCTCCTGGATGTTACTGGCACGTGACTCTGGCCAAACAGACACTTGCCACTGCCAAGCGGCATGATTCACAACAAGCATTAAAAGAAAACTTGACAACACAAATTTAGAAAAGAAACAAATGCCACACATACAGATCACTCTGCAGACTGTGGGTGAAAACATAACCTAAAAATAAAGTACCCTTGTAGTTTGTGGTAAAGGCTTTCCTATTTGTGAATAAAGCTGGTATTGTACCAAGGATGTGAGCAGCACACAGTGACGTTCTTTTAGAAACTTGACTGTAAGATTAAAGTGGCACAAGAGCAAGAACCAAGCAGAAGTTAATAATGTTGGCATGGTACCCACTATAAAATTATAGCAAAAAAGAGCTTTGACAATGTGGTCAGTTAAAAAGCTGAGTCTGGACTTGTCTTTTCTTCTGAGCTGCCTTGTGCGTAGCCTTGGGAAAGTTACTTTATCTGCTTGCACATCTAGACCCAATTATATCATAAGACTTAACTGGTTTTAAACTTGTAGACATCTGGATGGGGTCTAAAATAATACTTCACTGAATCAATCTATCAAAAGCAGTTTCCAAGATCCGTGCTGCTTCCCATTGTGTGAAACAATTTCATGTTTTCAGGCACAAGAAATGCTCTGCTATCCGGGCATCACCAGTTGTCGGTCTCCCAGTCAGAAGTCAAGCAGAAGGTGGACAGGCGGTGGGAGGACTTGAAGCCTTACCTGACCCTCACATCCACCACTACTGATGTTCCCTAGAAGGTTCACTTCAGTAGAATTTCCCTTGCATTTAACTCAATAATATGTATTTGTGATAAATTTTGAAAACTGATGGCAGTTCATGACATTATACTGGAAACTATGAAATAGCTTAATGATTACGGCACAAAGCGAAGAGTTATGTTAGCTAGAATGTTAACAACGATGAAATTTATCCCTTCTTACCATGAGCTTACAGCACAGCTTCATAACACAAGTGAAATGAATCAGTGAATCACCACTGCCAAAAGGGAGGTGGTGGCTCTCCACTTGGAGAGGGGAGGAGAGTGGGACAAGCTGTTTATTTGGCTGAAGCCTTTACCATGAAAACATACATTCAGTGTGCTCTCCACATGCTGCTCCAGGTTATGGGTTAGACATTCAGTCGTATTTTCCATCTCATATGCAGCAACTGATGCTGGACTATGATGTTGTTTTACTTTGTGCTTCCTTGCAGTGAAGAGGTAAATATACAATTAATATCAAGGGTGAACATTTAGCTTCCCAAAGTGCAGGAAGCAGGGCCTTCAAATCACCTCTCCATTTCTAGTTAAGCTAACCCTGAAATGTTGGTTATTCCATAGTGCAGTCATGAGTGTGCCTGGTGTTCTGTGGACATGGTACTTGCAGGGTATTATTCTATGACTAGAAGTGATCAGATGAGAAGCAAATAAAAATGAAAGAACCTGTTAAAAGCTTTAGGGTCCCCATCTGTCCAGATAACACTTGGCTCTTGCACCAAAGAAACATGAGCTGACGAATAGGTTTACAGAGAGTTTATGAACTCTAGTTAATAATGAAACTATTATTATGATAATTGGCTGCACTACAGAATGCTTCAAAGTCTATTCCTGACTGCCAAAAGGGCCTCCAGACTGCATCCCACAGATGGGGAATCTAAGGTCTTCCTCATTTCAGTGACTCTTCCTTTGACCATGCATGTGGTAGGGGAAGGAGGTTGGCTCATGACTGAGACTGGGTGGTGTTGGTCCACGTATCTCTGCCAGGGCAGCAGAATTTGGAACAAATGTAAATTTTGGATCAAAAAATTCAGATATTGAAAGGGAAGCACATAAAAAAAGAAAAAACTCAGAAGAAACATGAAAAATATGAGCAGAAAGGGGGGAAAAGAGAAACAAGCATTTTGCAGCTGGGGGGAGTGCTTTGCCTGAGGGACCAATCATGACTAGAAAAGGAGACCTGGACTAGAGGAACCTCACTGTGCTGAGGACAAGCTGTGAGCTGCAGGATGACCTAAGCAACCCACACAGCAAGACAGAGGATTCATCAAAATAACCAGGAAACAAAGGTAAGGATTTATTTTTTTGTGATTTGTGTGTTTCTTGTGTTATCAAGTAAATAGCAATGGTGTTTTAGATTTCTAGCAAAGCTTGTGTTATGGGCTGGACTATCACGTCAACCCTTGAAGTAAAGTATAAAACTTTTAGAGAGTCAAGGCGGTATAAAAGACATCTGCTTATGCTACTTGCACATATGGGGAATTGGCAAAAAATACACGCACTGTTATCTTGTTTGAATAAATCACACCATAAGCTGAAGTCCAGTGCTCCTAAGCTTCAATAGTCTTGATGCCAAAGAAGAGTCCAAAGAGTGCTTTCCCAGACAAGTTAGCAGTTGTGACCTGCAGCTTTTGAGCAGGAATTAAAAGTTGACAATAGAGCTTGTCCTACCTGTGTATGTAATATCAAGAACGGTATGGTTGTGAAGAGCATGGGCTTCCCGAAGAAAGCTTTCACTAGTCAAGCAGTCACCAAAGCACACCTGGAGGCATCATTATCATAGGTGTGCTGGGAAGGGGCTGCATTTGCTGCTGCTGCAATTACACTGAAAGGCTGCTCTGGTAGGTCTGGTTGGTTGTACCATCAAGTACATCGAGAGCCAAAATTCATTTAAAAATTGTAGTTTTCTATGCCATACACTTTAAGGATAACAGATTTATCATTCTCGATACAGTTAATCTTTTCTGCTCTGCACACCAATAGTACTTCATAAACTTCGCCTTGAAATCTAGTCGGAGATCGTATTGTCCTTGCTGATAAAGACCTATACAATGCCAGAGGAAGCCAGGTGGTCTAGCAATGGAAATCCACCTCTTAATATGTCAACGTTATAACTGGTAGTTCTGAGAAGGGATGGAGTGAAATACAATACATTTTCCTAAAGAAGAGATGCCAAAGCCAGCCGTGTCTTTTGCTGACATACTACACGCAAGCAAAAGACAAAAGCTACTTCTCGTGGCTGCAACTAAGAACTTAATTTCCAATGTTCAGTGATGTAGAAATAATACCTTTAATTAAAGCTTCTGTAGCATGTCCTCAAAAATCTGTAATTGCCTCTCTCTATTCTGGCAACA